TGCCCTGTACCTCTGGCCTACACCCCTGCTCTTTGTATGCATAAATAAATAAAATAATTTTTAAAGAAAAGCAGAACAGGAGCAGGAGGGTGACAGTCCAAGCTGAGGGAAACTGTACCGTGACTTAGCGGCGTGATATCCCGAAACCCCATGTGTGTCCATGTTCCTGTGTGCGTTTGATCTGAAAGGCCAAAGGACATTGCACACACTGGCAGCACCAGACTCCCATACCCTAGGGCTTCAGGCTTCGAGCTACTTGCTTCTGGCCTCAGCCTGAGGACTTTCAGAACCCAGAGAGGGTTTGTCCATCTGTCCTTCCCAGAAAGAAGGAAATGTCTGCAAGGGGCCACCTCTGGTCAGTATGACCCCTAGCTCAGCGAGGCACTGGGACAGTTCTAGAAAGGTGTCTGCCCTGGCTGTGTCCTGAGGGGCAGACGGACTTTAAGGTGTGGTTGTAAATCAAATGCTTTCATGGCGGGTTATACAATGCTTGTCAAGGGGTCTACTTCCCACTAATGGCAGCTGTTATCATTCCAAGGACACCCTAACCATCCCGGGACTCAGTGTTTCCTCTCTGTGAGGTCCTAAGCACTCATTGCTCATCCCTGACTCCCAAAACTCTTCATGCCTCCCTTAACTGCATGATGCTGCAGGCTTCATGGCCATTCCTCAGGAGGACAGTGGGGGGAGACTCTGGGGTGTTCAAAGAAAAAATCCCCCTTATGGGCCCCTTGACTCCGCCTCTTCTTACCCACCCTCCTTAAAAAAAAAAAAAAAAAAAAACCCACCCCACTCATTACTAGGGAGCCCTAGCAGCCAGCCCTGGCGAACCCTGCTGAAAGGCAGCAATTAGATCGTTAGCACCAGCCCCAACCCACCTGCTCGGAGTCCACAAACGAGTTTTAATTATAATCCCTTAATCTCCCTCAGATGGTGAGGCTGGCCCCTGGGCTTTTGCCCTGAACAGCCCCTTCCCTTCCTTTCTGTCCCCAATTAAGGGGTCCTCTCTTGGCAGAGAGACCCTTTCCCAGCTTAAGGTGTCCTGCCTCGGAGGAGCCAGACCGTGGCTCTGCCCACCTCTGTGAGACGTGGCTCTGGGGGCAGTCTGCCTGACACTCCTATGGGTGCCACTGACCTCCCTTGTGCTGTGTGCCCCCGCCTTGGCATGAGATGCCAGGACCACACCTGCCCGTAGTCCGCCCTGCCCCAGGTCCCTGTGCCTCCCGGGAGGTCCTCCTCTCGTCCAGGTCACGCGACTTCCACGTCCCTCCGTCCAGGTCACGCGACTTCCACGTCCCTCCCCACCTCCTGTGCCACCCAGACCAAGTCAGTTGTCTCCTCGGTGACTCTGTAGCAGGTGGGATGGAGCTCTGGGCCTGATGAGCCAGCTCCTGCCTTGGCTTCCAGGGCCTCAGCAGCCTGCTTTCCTGCCCACTTGGGTCCTCTGGCAGCCGCCACCACATGGGGCTGGCAGAACTTGGGACAGGCTTCTCTCCCTGAGGCCCAAAGGGGCAGAGGCAGGGGAGGGACAAGATGACCCAGCATGTGGCCCAGTCTGAAGCTGAGTCTGGATGAAACTCTTTCCTGGGAAAGTTCTGTCACTAATTGACTTGCAAATGCCTTGTTTGTCCCCAGATTCATAATTAGTGTTAAGGATTTCTAGGGCCCCATCCTGAAGGGGCTTTTTTTGGGGGGAAGCTGTTCCTCTCCCCATGCTGAGGTCAGCCGGGCTGGGGGTGGGCAGAGCCGGGCACCGGTGCCCAGCTGCCATCCAGCGTTCCCACGGCACTGGTGCCAGCGTGTGAAAGGCGAGGTGTGGGGGGCGCGGGGGCTGGGGCTCCCCGCCATCTCTCAGCCGGGACCAGGGCCAAAGCCCTGAGGCTCCAGGAAACGACAGAGCTGGGGAGCGGACAGTGGCAGCGGGTGGGGGCTGGCTGGCACCCCCAGGAAGGAGAGCCCAGCCGGTGCTGGGGGTTGGCATGGGCCAAGCCTCCGGCAGGATGAATGGACCAACAAGGGGCCTCTCTTCCCCAAGGCTTCCCCACAAAGGCCTTGGCGACACCATTGAATTGGGGGGCTGGGGGCCATCAGAGGAAGAGGCGGCTATTCTCAAAGACACCCCCACTCCTAACCTCCATGCTCCCCAGGAAGGCGCCCCAGTGACCTGGGTCCAGGCCCAGCTCAGATCTGCTGAGTGAGGGGGGCAACCCTCCCGATCTCTCTGCACCTCAGTTTCTCCCACTCGATAATCCCTGGCACCCTGCCCACCCCCAGTGTCCCCCTCCTAGTTTTTGCCTACTCAGCTACCCTCAACAGTCCCACCCCACCTTCCACTGCCAGTCCCAGTCCATGTGCAGACTCTCTCCGGGCCTGAGGCCCAGCCAGCCTCCCCTCGGCACCTTTCATCCGGGCACAGACCCCCAGCCCTAACACCCTTCAGCTCCCCTCAGCTCAGGAAGACCTGTTCCAACCTCCGCTTGCCAGGAAGGAGAGGGAAGTTCCTCCACATGGCTGCCCACTGTGGCGTCAGACAGGCCAGGGCCCTGCCACTGCAAACTGTGTGACTGACTGTGTGTCCGTCTCTGGGCTCATCTGTGACGCGCTCTGCAGGACTGTCCCTACGATCCAATGAGATAAACACCAGGCGGCCTTGGCCTGGAGAGGGTGGATGCTCATTTGAAGTTCTTTTTCCCTCCGGCCTCCCATTCCAAGCTACTGTCAGTCTGCCTGTTTCCCCTGTGACTGGCATGTTCTTTCACTGCCCAGCCCCATCTTTTTTGTCCGGCTCTCCCAGCAGCCCCTCAGTTCACCATTTTCCTTTGGTAAGTCCTTCCTGAAGTCTAACCTTCTATTGCAGCTCGCCCCTCCCAGGCCTGGCCTCTTCCCAGGCTGCCCTGCAGCTGCAGCCCTGAGGGGAGGAGGCAGGTGGGCTCTATGGTAACCCTGAGAAGAGAATGCCCTCTCTCCTCATCTGCATACAGACGGTCTCATTTGCATACAGACAGGGCTCATCTGCATATGCTCAGTGGGGCTCTCAGACCGCATTCCAAAGTGTCCCGCCAGTGTCCTCCCACCCCAATTCTGGTATCCCTGTCCAGGGAGGAGTCCTCCCTGTCCTTGTCTGTTTCTGGATCTTTGTTTCCAAAGAGCCCACCCTGTCACTCTGCTTGCACCTGCTGTCACCAGTGGCCTGCTTTCCTTCCCTGTGCTCAGGAGAGTCCTTCTGCCCAACTCAGCTCACCTGTACCCTTTAGTTAAGAGCCTCCCTTCCTAGCCAGGTGGCCACTAGCAGAGGGAGAGGCCCAGTCACCACTGCCTCTTCCCGCCCAGGCCCCCGGCGCCCAGCGTGTAAAGGGGCCATGAAGACTGAGGCATGCGCACCAAGCTGCAGTCTGAGTGAAAGCAAGGGGAGGAGAGGGCAGAGCTGAGCAGCTTCCTTCTGCAGACCAGCCCCCATCCCCTTTTGCCCCTCCTCCTCTCCAGGTGCACACCTGCAGTGGGTCCTTCCAAGGCCAGCAACTGCAAGAGCCACAAAAGAGGACTGGGCAACTCGGAAAAACTTCCCTGCCTGGAAAGTCTGGGTTCACCCTTAACTCTCTTCAACTCCCCAGATTGTGACACAAGCAGAACTGCCAGTTGTTGGCCACACCCTTTCTTTCCATCAGTCCTCCTAGGCTCTGTCCTTGTGGGGGAACCGTGGGCTCTTTGGCAAGTAGGTTGGGGGAGACTGGGGTGTTCCTCCTGCAGGCTTCTCCATGCAGGGCACCCTGACACAGCTCTTCTCCCTGGCCTCAGTTTCCTCTGTAAAATGAGCTGGGCTAGACCAGGTGGCTCTAACTGTGAACCTCCTTCCTGGACACAGAGCCCAGGTGCCCTCAGCATCTTGTGTGTACTTTCAGCAGGTACAAGGATGCCCTGGGGGTCGTCTTGACCTCAGGCTAGCAGCCCTGGTATGGAAGAGCCCAGAATGCTGCGGTCTGCATTTCCCCGGGAGGGAGGTGCACGTGTGCCCAGATGCCCAGGGAGAATCTCAGCGATGTCGCCAGCCAGTGCCTGCCTCTTGGGAGAGGTTGTGGCTGGAAGAGGCAGTGGCTGGAGAGAGGGATGGGAAGAAGACATAGTTCCCATTCTGTGCTGTTAGGATTGTATCATTTGTATTATCTTAGCTGTTCTTATTTATAAGAAGTCTAGGATTCAATCCCTGGGGGAATCAGAATTAGGTGGGAGGACTTTTCAGCAAGCGCTGAAGGACTTACAAGATGCTGGTGGTCTGGGCCCTGCCAACACTATTCAGCTGGAGCTCTCTAGAGTGAGAGGGGGACTGCTCTGGGGGGGGGTAGATCATGTGGGAAACAGAGGTGTCTGTGTCGTGGGGGAAATAGGGTCAGGAGCACATTCGCCCTCCTTGTCGGGCTGCTCCTGTCCCCTCAGGTGTCCCCCTGGGTCTTACAATTGCTGGAAAGTCCAACCTGCTCTCTACCCTGAATCTAGCTGGCTAGTCACACTGCCTTTGGTTTCTAATGCAGGTGGGCAGAGAGAGCAGGATTGGGTTGCCCCGTGGGCAAGGGTGCACCTGTTCTGCGATCTGTTCAAACTCAAGATGCCATTTCTGAGGAAAAAGCCCTTCATGGAGGAGACAGAGGGCCACTCAGACCCCCATGCAGGCACTCAGGGAGCAACACCATCTTCTCCCATCTTCTTGGCTGTTGGGATGGCACCTGGGGACTCCTTGACTGGGAGCCTCAGCCCATTGCTTGAGCTGGGACTGACCAGATCATGGGTGGAGTACGGGAAGGCTTGAGGAGGCTGAGAGAGGTGGAAAGAGCCAAAGAGCTCTGGACTGCGTCCCCTTTCCCCAGGAGCTCTGTCCTCAGTGTGGTGTTCCCTATTGCTGCAATGTTGCTTTTAGCACTGGTGTCTCAGAGCCCAGCGCTGACCTCTACTCATCCAGTACCCCCCACCCCCCAGCCCAGGTACAGCCACTGCACTGGTACTATTGTTTAATTGTCTTTATTAGGCACGAGGTGGGGCTTTTGTCTCAGGGGAGTCTCAGCTCAGATGACAGAATGACACGAAGTGGGCCAGCTGGTCACCTGCAGTTAGGGGAGTCCAGCAAAACAAAGCCTTATTCCAGGCAGCCCCCAGGTTGAGGCTGGGACTCCCACCTCTGTCCTACTCAAAGCGCCCCTGGAGGAGGTGGTCGGCTTGGTAGAGTTCAGCTGCATCTTTCGGTTCATCTAGGAGCCTTCTTAGTGGGGGCCCTGTTCAGCTGGTGATATAGGTTCTTTTGATCTGAAAAGAAAAATTGTCAAGAGTAAACAAGTTTCTCTTTGGATGGAGACCTTAGCAAGAGGCAGAGGCAAACCTCCGGGGAGAGTTTCTGGGGCTGTAGAAGGTCCTCCCCTCCTTCAGAAAGGGTGATGGGCTGAGGGGAGGCTCCTTGACAAAGGGGTTACTGTGACAGTATCTAGGACCCCTTCTAGGGGCTCTACCCGCGATCTTGGGAGGGGGCAATACCCAGGGTGCGGCCTCAAGTCCTAGGCAGGTGAAAGATTAGCCAGGGGCCTAGGGCCCTTGCTTCGTCCCTGGCCAGGGACTGGCCTGGGAGGATTTGGGTGACTTCCAAGGCTCCTGCAGTCTCTTCCCCAGCCTGTCTTCAACCTGCAAGGGCTGTTTCAGCATTCTTCAGACTTCAGTCTTGTGTTTGAGTGCCCCCTCCTTCCCCTGAGAATAGGCAAGAAGTGCTCCTGATTATCAGGACCTCTGCTTTCTACCCCTATGATTATGTTTGAGGCGTGTTCCTTCTTCAAGAGTTCGGCACAGGGGACAGAAATCTAGAAAGCCACATCTGAAATCCACTCCCAGCTGTTGGTCCTGTGACTGGGGCTACTTACGTGTCTTTCTTGGGCTCTCACTTAGCCTTCCTAAGTGGGGCAGTATCACCCAGTTTTCAGGACTGCTGGAAGATTAACTGAGACAGTAGTTGAGAAGAGCCTTATACACTCAGGTGGGTGTGCAGTCAAGGCCAGTTCCTTCCTTCCTTCCTGGGGTTGGGGGAGCAGTGCTTAGGAAAGGGGAATAAAACCAGGAGAGGGGCCACACAGAAAGAGGCATCAGAAGCACAGCTGTGAGCCGAGATTCCTTTCCTGCCCATCTGGGGCTCCCAACGGAGCCAGCAACCTTGGAAGCCCCCAAAGTATACCACATCTGACTTTTCCAAAGGCATTAACTTCAGAAACAGGAGGGTCTCTGAGTTAAGTAACTTTCCCTCCCTGTCCCCAGGCCCTATCTTTGCCAGGTCCCTTGATGTACTATGGAGGGAAGAAGAGGGGAGGGAAGGGGAGGCCCACCTGGCCTTTTATGCTGGAAGTTCCCCCAAAGGTAAGGACTATCTTTCCCTTGAGGTCTGTATTCCTGACCCTCTCTGGCTCTATCTTGGATGGCCAGGTGAGCCAGCTGTTCCTCCATGTCTGAACTGAGTCCGTGGTTCTCTCCCTCCAGAGTTCCCACCCTCAATCCTTGCTCCAAATCCTCAGCTTCCTGGGAGCTATACTATCCCCAGGTTAGCTGAATTTTGCAGGGGGGAACTGTGGGAGGCCTGGGGGGTTGGGAGGGACTTATGTCTGTGAGGGCTTAGAAAGGGGTGGTGGATGAAGTTCAGCACTGGGCCTTCTGGAAGGGGGGTGGGAAGACAGGAGTCCAGATGGAACAGTCGCTGCCGGTTACACCCTCCCAGCCCCAGACAGAGCCAGGATCTCCTAGCAACAGTACAGTAGCAGGGGGCTGGGGAGAGGAGTGGGGGCTGGGAAAGCGGGTGGGGGAATGATATCATAAATTATCCCCAGCCCCTCCCTGCCATTTCAGCTCAGAATGGCCTCTTTTCTTTTTCCACCTGCTCCTCATTTAAGATCCCCTCAGCAAAGCTCACCCCACTCAGTGCCCCTCAGAATACCCCTACAGGTCAAGGTGAACATTCTCTGCCTTCTGCTAGAGTTCCTGAGGGAGGGAACTCTCATCATCATGGGATCACCCAGGGACCCTATTGGAATCTCCCCAAAGGCAGGAGAGGGAGATAGCGCTCCCTAGGGGAAGGTGCTCCCCAGAGAGACTGGGAGATTATAACTTCCAATGGTCTCTGGTCCCTGCCTCTTTGTTTGGGTGGGGATGGAGAGGGGAATTTCAAAGGCATTAATGACATGACTGCTTCTCTACAACTTGGGTTGAGGGGCACTTGCTCTCACAGGCTTGCTAAGCAAGTCTCAGTTTCCCTATACCAACAGCTGGAATCAAGGAAGCCCAAACTGCCTCAAGCTGAGTGGCAACTCCTTCCTTCCTTCCCAAATCAGCTATGTCAAGCCAAGGGACAGAGAACTGGTTCTCAGTAGCACAGATCACGGCTGGATACTGGCAAGGACTTTCCAAGGCAGGGAGAAGCACCATCGTAGAATTTCCTGGTTGGAGAGTGGTAGAGTCTATCATAGAAACAAGAAACTGGGTGGGTACCTCTTAAATGTATCCCCTTTTGCTTTCCTGACCATAATAAATAACACACAGGAAACATGGAGACTGACACTAAGTAAGCCTCTGTCTTGTCCATTTTTTAACAAATGAGTATGGATTTTTATTGGACAGGTTTAGGGAGAAAAGAGTAGATCCCTGGAGATCTATCTTCTGTCCTCTAAGAACCCATGAGAAAACCCAGATATGAGGTAGAGCCCTGTGCACAAGATGGCAGCCAATTGCCATGGCAACAGCAGGAGGAGTCTGGTTGGGTGCAGGGGTGGTGGAGGAAGCCAGCTGGTGCCAGATGGACAAACCCAGCAGAAGGCAGCCCCAGCCGGGTGAAGCTCATGCCCCCTGTGCCCAGGGCTCTCCTCCATATGCCAGCCTCAGCCTGGTCCAGCCCTAAAGGCTCCATTGCTCTCTGTGGGGGATGATGCCAAAACCATTCCTCCTCCTGACTCTTACGTGTACAACAAGCCATGACCGCTTAGAAACAAAACACCCTCCTGTTCAGAGCCTCCCTGGCCCATGGGTCCAGGGATCTAGGTAAGTCTGAATAGAGCTGACTTCTGATAGTCTGAGGAGCCTTAAATCAGGGACTTGAGCAGGTCCTAAGTGGCAGGGCTAGAGGTCCATTTTGAGTGTGACTAAAGAAGGGTCACTATGTCTGGCTAAACTCCCTCTGGAGAGTTCTGAAGAACACCTGGTTAAAGCCTGGAGGGCAGGTGGCAGGGAAGGGGCAGGGCAGAGCAGGGTGGTATGGGCTTACCAGCTTCACTTCTTCCCTCTCCTCTTCCTAGGACTGCTGGACAGTTTCACACATGGCCAGTGGGGAAGTTCTTCCTGAGGTGGAAAGAAGGTGTGGTCATGTAGTCCTTCACCTATTTGTTTAAAATGAGTGCCTCCCAACCAGGCTCAGCCAGACGCAGGCCTACATGAGGCCACAAGTGCTCCAGGCAGCCTTTGGGGAGGAACGCTAACACATCCCCAGACACAGGGACTGCGCTGTAGCCTCTTCACTCCGCTCCAGCAGCCTGTGCCCTCACTTCCCAACTCTGAAGGCATCCCCAACTGTCCCCATTGATATGCAACCCCTCTTTAAATTTTTTTTTAAATTTATTTTTACAGGTCTCCCTGGAGGTGCAGGGGTTAAGTCTCAGCACTATGAAGCTATTCACAGCCACTGCAGCATGAGTTTGGTCCCAGGCCAGGGAGCTGACCCACATGTGCAGCAGACCCCTCCTGTCTCCATCTGCCTGTTCTGCTCCCTACTCTCTCTGGTGAATCCTCTCATACCCTCCACACCTCTGGCCTGTACCCCAGTTCTTCTGTGTATAAGTAAATACAAATAAATCTTAAAAAGATTATTTTTGCATAGAAGAACTGAGGTGGAGGCCAGAGGTACAGGAGGTGAGAGGATTCACCAGAGACAGAGTGGGGAGCAGAACAGGCGGATTGACTGACACACACTGCTGAGGGGAGCAGCGGGTGAGACAGAAGAGGTCTGCTGCACCCTGTGGGACACTCCCTGGTCGGGGATTGAACAATAAGCAATAGCCGGTGATGGTGACACAGAGGCCACCAGGGAGCCCCTGCAGCCCCTCTCTAATACTGCACCCCTCGGCTTTAGTATTAACACTGGGCTTCTGCAGTCTTACAAACTCACTGACACCAACCCAGCTGGTTCTCAGAAGGCCCCCGGAAGGGAGGGACTAGAGCCATAAAGTGACTACCTAATGTCACTGAGCTAGTAAGAGAGAGAAGCCAGAATTTGAATCCTGATGGGCTTGTCCAATTCCTGCATCAAAAACCTCCTCATGGTAGAGCTCCTCTGCTTACCCAACCTGTGAGCACCTACAAACTGAGTTGGAGTCTGTGTTCACTCTAATGCTTCAAGTACCCCCAATCCAAACACTTAGAATGTGCCGTGGCACAGGGGTTGGAGGTGGAGATGTCAGGCCTCCACTGCCGGCACAGCATGTGGCCTGTAAAAAGCTTCCCCAGAGAGGACAAGACTGGGAGAGGGGACTGAGCTGGCCTATGAGAGGCTTTTTGACTCTGCTCAGTCCTATCTTTGCACACTTCCCAGGTAGCCTGCCCTGATAGGCAGCCCCTGTGGCTGGGGGCATGAGAGAGGTTCAGGGCAGGGCAACCCCAGAAACAATGAGGGAGAGCAAGTGTATGAGTTGGGGAAGGGAAAGTGGAGAGGAGCGGCAGGATGGGGAGGTAAGCTGGGAAGAAATGGGGAGCAGCAGGGCAGGGCCTTGGTGCTGGTACCTGCGGGGGCCTTTTGGGGCATGACACTTGGGCCAAGTCTCAGTTACTGGACTTCCTGCCTCAGCCTGGTGAAAGCGGGGGCCACCCTCAGGCTTCCCTTCCTCCAACGCCTTCCACACTGCCCCAAGGAGCCCTGGAGTGAAGCACGCTCACCTGACAGGGCCACTTCCACAGCCACTCAGAGGGCTTTGTGCAGAGACTGGGTGTGGGGAAATGGGTGCTACCAGGTTCTAGCGGGTGCTCCAGCATCCCAACTCTGCAGCCAGCAGTGGTGTGGTCCTCAACTCTCCCTCCACCCTCCCACTCCCCCTCTCTAGAAGTCCCTCCAATGCCTTGGCCACTCCTGCATACCCCCTCCTCATACCTTCCCTCATTCTTCCTCTAGGAAGTTTCCAGGTCTGAGCCCCAACTCTGTTCTTCACCCCAGTCCCCTTAGCCTTCAGCCTTGACCTACTGAACCTTCCTTTTAAAAAGGCTCAGAGGCTGGGTGGTTGCTCCCATGAAATCATCCTGCATCCTGTATCCCCCACCCTCCCTGAGTGCCCATCTCCTGTTGTGGGGACCAAGCTCGAGAACTCCCACAAGCCTGCATGTGTGTATGCACGAGGGAGACGGAGACTCCATGCCTTCCTGGGTGACTCCTGGCCTTTCCCGGGACTTCACTGCGTTCTAAACTAGCTGAGAGCCAGTGAAGTGACTGCCTGGGCGCTGGACTCAGGGGCAGCTATGGCAGTGTCCTGTCCCTCCCAGGGAGGTTACGTGCTGCTCCCCACCCCCTGGACTCAGCGTCCCTATGGCTGTCGCATACTTCCTGGAGCCTCTGTCCCCAAATCCTGCCTTCTGGCAGGAGGGCACCAAACTCTTAACTGAATTTCTGCCCCTACTTTCCAACTCTCCCAGCCCAGGCTCCCGTTAATGGGCACTCCAGTCCCCAAGCACAAGCTCTTCCCTACCTCCTTGCCTTCATGTGTTAGTCACTCTCTTCCACCCACTTCCCCACAGGCCTTAGATTGGCCATGGCTCCCTCCCCATGATCCACAATACCCTACACAGCTTCAGCACCAAAGTGAATGCTGTCCTGTCGTTCTTGTTGTGTTTGCCTCCCTGACAGACCTCCAGGCCCCATTTTCCCTTCAGCACAGCTTCACATACAGTAAGTGTTTAATAAATGCCTCCTGCCTGCCTGAGCAGGAATGAGAGAAAGGAAGGTGTGGATGTGAGAAGCCCTCGAAGGAAGAAGTGATAGTTTTAATGTGGCTGATTTGGGTGAGGAGCGGGGAGGAAGAGGGCAAATATAGGCTAATGCTCAGCATTTAAGCCTGAGTTCCCAGAAGCTTAATGGGACCACCAATGTCAGTGAAGAAGTAGAGACACAGAGCAAGACTCGAAGCATGATGTTGATGAGGGGCTATGAATCCCCTCCAGCCCAGGGAATGATCGCCTCCTGTATTTGGGACTGGGGCTGTGCTTATGCAACCACAGAAGCTAAAAGCACCGGGTGTCAGCCTCCTGACAGGGGGGGCTGGGCACATGGTCCGGGGGCAGCTGTCACATGCATGCATCCCTCCGCTCTGGTGCTGACAGCAGCGCCACAGGTAGTTTGGACACAGATCTAGAGTCCATAAGGCTAGAGAAATGAGTGAGAGTTTAACTCCAGATGATGTGATAAAGGTGAATAGGTTAAGAAAAAAAGGAAGAAAGAAAGGTTGATTGCAGGCCCTTGGGGAACACTTTGGGTTGGAGGACAGGTGAAAACAGAGAACTGAGTGAACCAGTCCTAGAATGAATCGTCATGGATATAACAGAAGAATCAAAGACCAATGAAAACTGGTGGACATCAGTATAAAATGGTCCACGGAGGTCACCAGGTCTGATGAGGAGGCTGCTGGTGACAAGGCTATGAGTGGCTATTTCACCAGAGTTGTGAAGATGGATGTAAGGATGCCCACTGAAGCGAAGACTTGGGATTTCACCTCCAGGGCACAGCAGCCCTCTGGTCGGAGACACCCTATGGTGATGGCCGACTGCCCACCCACCACTCCCCACCCTTCTCGTGCGTTCCCAGTCTGAGTCCCCAGTACTTTCACATTACCCACAGTCCTCCCACTCCTCTCGCCATGGTGCTCACAGGAGCCTGGAGCTAACACCAGTATGAGGCATCTCTACCTCCCCTGCTCCTGGGCAGAACGTCACATCACTTCTGGGGCTGATTCTCATCTCGCCTTCCTCCCTTCTCTCCACATTCCCACTGGCAAGACGACTCAAAAATGTCAGCCAAAAGCCCTTCTTATGGTCTCATCTCCCTCTATGGCCACCAACCAGAGCTGGTTCCCCGCTACACCTATCAGAGTCGGCCATTTTGTGGGCGCCAGCTACCTAAGATGGCGGCTTCCTTCTCTCCCTATGCTTCCGTTCCCACAGCCTGGCCTCCTACCCTTGCCTCTTTCTTTCTGAAGCCTGAGCCCAACAAGGTGGGGGGCCAGGTTGGGGAGCCAAGGCCGGAGGAAGCAAGACAAAAAAGGACAGAAAAGCCAGCCCCTTGGCATCTCTCTTTGGCATTTGAGTCCAGCTCAGAGAGGGAGGGCAGAAGGGAAGAAAGAAAGTAGTGTGAGTTTTTATTTCTATCCTCTTCCTGCCACCACCTCCTCCCCCCCCCCACACTTTGATGAAAACAAAATCTCGCTCCCTTTCTCTCTTCTCCAACCCTCCCCCTTTTTTCCTGGCTCCTACCATGAGCCTCCTGGAATGCAAATGAGTTGTATTATGCAAATATATGCAAATCAGGCTTAACGAGCGGAAGGAGGGGGCAGAATGCCTAATGAGTAATGGCGGAGGGTGCAGATGGAGGGTGGCAGAAATGATCCTCTTCTCCTCTCAGTTCCCACAGCCCGGAGACTTGCTGGGCATATTGGGGTGTCCCTTATTTCTGAGAAAGAGAAGTTCAAGGACCCATCATTTCAATGGCAAAGACCTAGGGTGACTTTGGCTATAAGTGAGGAATAGAAGATGTTGGGGTGAGGGGAGAGAGTGTTAAGTACAAGGGGCTTGTGCTCACTTGTGCATCATTGCCCAGGGACTCTGGATTTGCCAGATTCCCTGCCTCTATGACTTGCTGATGGCAGAACCTGGTGCTGAAAAGAGGGTGATGCTTATGCATGCCTAGGCCTGTGCATCAGAAAGGATTCCCAAGGGAAGATTCCCAGCCAGACCCAGGTTCTTCCTGGGGGTAGGGGTGAAAGCTGTCTCTCTTTGTGCTTTGGAAGGTGAAAGGGGGGGGGGCAGGAGGAGGGTTGGGTGGTTGTCATGGCAACATAGCATGGAACACCCACCTTCCGAACATCCAGCCCCAGAGGACCTAGGAGTTGGGGGGGGATAATAGATTGACACCCTCTGATACCCCCACCACCTGGCACTGCCAGCCGGAGATGGCGGCATCAAATCCTAGAGATAATCGCCCCTTTGTTTCTAGGCTCATGGTGTTGGGGGAGCAAGCCTGGGCACACAGAAGGGCCTTTCCCAGGCTCTGTTCCAGTTTGCATGACTCTTGTTGGACTCTGGAGACTCCTTGTGGCCATCCACTGGCCTTTGGGCCCTGGCAGATGGTTGTCCCCTTGCCTTTTCTTCCATGAATTTGCCAGCTTCTACTAGGTATAACATCTTCTACACTTCGAGATCTCTCCTCCAAGCCTCCTCATACTATCAGTTCTACCTTTTTCTTGCTTGTAGGGACAGCTCACAGGCCTAGATATGTATTTTGCCCTCTTTTGTATAGGTGCAGCCTTTGAATTCTCCCTGCTAACATTTTAGACCTGCTCTATCAGCTCAGGCTTCTAAAGGATGAAATGGTCAGGGCCAAGTTGGAACACAGGATCTTGGTATTTCCACTAACCAGCTGGGTGATCTTGGTTATAACTTTTCTACTCTTATTTTAGGATCTGTAAAATGAAGGATATAGAACTGATGATTTCAAAACTCGTTTCAGCTCTACACTTTATATCTTACATGAACTTAGATTAAATCTTTCTGGAAACCTAACCACCTTCCTTTCCACTCCTGGAGCAGCCCATCTCATTCGGACTGCCCAAAGAGGACAAACCCAATTTCCCGAAGATGAAATTCTAACTGCCTTTAACATTTCCTTCCGCCTGAGACATCACAGCTGCCTGCAAACAACTCCTACAGAAGTGAAGAAAATTCTAAACCAAACTGGAGTCTTTGATATCTGACCCTGCAGACTGGAGGACCTCCTCCTAACTCTTTCCCAAAGGGTCAGCACTGTCATCTCACTCACCGCCTGGGAGCTGTCCATGGTGCTGGATGAGGCCCTGGTGCACTTGTGGAGAGAGAGCAGCAGGGGTGGTGGAGCACCCACCCACTACAGGTGAGAAGCTAAAGGGGAGAGAAGGAGCAGAAACATTTGGAAATAGTAAGGAAAAAGGATGACGTATTCCTGAAGAAAGTTTCTCCTCTCTGAAGATCTCCAAGTTGTCAATACTATTTTGGGGAAGGATAAGCATAAGAACAAATGAAATGCTGAACCACCTACCCCATCAACCCTAATGACTTAAATGTCCTAGATGAGCTCAGTCCTCATCTTGGTTTCCTCATTTGGAAATCCAAAGGAAATGGAGTCACAGCTCTTGTCCTTGGAGAGGAGTGCTAATACTGATGTAGGAGACAGGGCACACGTCTTTAGTTTCCAATGTTAAAGTGTACGTTCCAAAAGGAATTTAGTAATAAAGTTGAGAACATACAGAGGAAGATACAATCTGTCTGATGTTATAGATATCACGAGTTTGAGAAGGGGAAGTAGGAAAAGGCATGTGTGTGCCTGCAAGCACAGGTGTGTGTGTGTGTGTGTGTGTGTGTGTGTGTGTGTCCCAGGCAGAGACCCTAGCTTTAGCTGCACATTAGAAACACCAAGGGAGCTTTTAACTGAGACTGCTGCCAAGGCATCATCCCCAGACACTCTCATTTCATTGGTGTGAAGCTGAGCCAAAACACAGTATTTTTTTAAAAGCTCCCCAGGTGATTTTAGTGCATTACCAAGTTGAGAATCATTGGCCTGGAGGAAAAGCAGATAAGAAAAAGTACATTGGTTGAATCTGATCATCTGGAAGAGGTACCCCTGAAGGAAAAAAAGAGAAAGCGAGAGAGAGAGCTGGAAAAAAAGAGAGAGCAAGAGAGAGAGCTGGACATGCATGTAACTCTGCTTTCCTAGGTTTCCCCAAAGGTCCCAGGTCTGGCACTCAGGTATTGGCTTTGTCTCTTCTGTGTTGTGGAAGCTCAACCCACCCCAAGGCATGAGATGGACTGTTTCTCCATCCTAGTCCCTAGTGCAAAGACAGGGAATGGGTGCAATGACCCTAAGGGCGTGCTACTCCCCTTCACCCAGGAGGTCCCCAAGGAGGCAGTTGTGGAAGGTAAACAGCAACAATGGTTTCTTTCAGTGTCCAGATTCCAACCCTTCAGTCCAATTAGCAGACATAGCAAACAGCAATTCAGCTGCCTTCAACCGCTGTCATAACAAACTCAGAGCAGCCTTAATGGGGGGATTAGGGCAGGAGGAGGGGGGGTGTCATTCTAAGTCCTGGGAGAGCCTGGGTGGCAAGGACCTATTCCCCTTTTCTAATCGCTCTCCAATCTAAATATACACCCACCCACCTTTACTTTCCTTAACCCTGCTCCTCGTTCCCCTCAAAGCTCTGAGAATGTTTTTACCATTTTCTCTATTCTTTCCTTCCAGTGATTTTAAAGCATTAACCTAACCTCATTTATCTCCTTGGGAAACTGGAACATGCTGCCTCTGGATGAGACAGTGCCATAAGCCCCAAGGTAGTTGAGGTCTCAAGAGCAAAGGAAGGGAGATAGCCACGACATAAGGATGGGAAGGACATTAAGAAGCAAACATCAGTATTTCAGCTGCCAAACCTTTGGAGGTGAAAACATAAAGGATTTCCAAATGTAGAAGACTAGAGAATCCTGTGCTTCACTGGTGGATTGCCAAACCTAGGATTTGGGGCTGGGATGGTAGGATCAGAGAGACAAGAGGCAAAAAAAAAAAGAACATTCCCCTTGAAGGCATTCAGTCATAAAGAAAAGTCTACATGCTGACAGGCAGATAGCTATTTGGTTCATTAATATACCACTGCCTAGCATGTCCTCTAATTTAATAAGCTGTGTTTTTAGTAATTCTAGCTTAATGAAATAAAGTTGGAATTATCATTTGCGATACCATATTTACATGTGCTGTTTCCCTATCTCCATAAGTCAGCTTACCAGTTCTAAGTACTCTTCCAGCAAGTGGACAGCGGGCAGATCCCTTAAGGTGAAGGAACTCAACGGGCCATGCTGCCATGTGGGACTCTAGCCTCTTCCCTTAATAAGCTTCCCAAGTAATGTTCTTCCTCTTTAGGCTTCAGACACTGCCCACCTACGTCCCCAGGAATCCCTCCTCAACCCCAAAGCTCGGAAAGGAAGAACATCCTCAAATTTAAATATTTTGAGATCCACAGTCAAGAATATGTCAAAGAGCTGCCCTTTTGCATTCTAAGATACTGTTACATGCTTTTAAGCAGTCAATCCAGACCGTAGCCTTTAACCATTCAGGAGTCTAAATATTACTCTTTACCCATAAAATATAAGCACAGAATTTTTTTGATCCATATAACAACCCTCAGGGAATAAATTCTTATCTCTATTAAAAATAGAGCTGAGGCTTAGAGATCCGAGTAACTGGTGAATGACACCTAAATACAGACTTTGGTTCAGTCTCATTTGTTCTTTCTATCACTACCCCCAGGGCCTGCTGATTGTGGTGATTCTTGTATAAGGTTCTTTCAACAAGACCCTCAGATGCCTAGGACTGCGAAAAATTTGTGGCATGATGAGGGTATGAGTGACAATGCAAGAGTTGAGTCAAAAATTTAGGATAAAATTTCCTTAAACTCCTGAACTTGAAATTCAATAGGAGGATATTGGGATGAAGGGCTATGGAGAAAAATTAGTAAAGAAGTGAGCTTAGAATTTGCTTTCCAGTCGAAATAGGTGGATGTTGCAAGATCTTAATAGAGCTAAAAACACTTAGGCACAGACAGTAGTGCAATGTTACAAAAGAGAATATTTTCTAACTAGTAGCTAGTAGGACCCCTCCAAGCCTCATTCAACCCAACTTCCTTGCACCCCACATCCCACCAGTTCTCCTACTGGGTTTAGATGGAGTCGACACTGTCAGCTATAAAACGGTGGGAGGCAAAAGCAGAGTATTTGGCAAGCTATTCCAAATCCCTGAGTCTCTCTTCCCCTAGTGGGTTTATACCGGTGTAGACAGACATGTCTAATCTGACAAGGGAGCTTCCTACCGCACCCCATCACACACATCCAATCCAGGTCACACACCACTCAGTTTCGCCTCCATCAGCAGACACACAGCTCACAAACAGTCCCCCAGCATTCTCCTGGCAACCTACACACACGCCCACACCAGATCTACATGTAAGGCAGATACAAACTGTCACCTCTACATTACTCCTGGCCTCTAATTCTCCTTTCCACGGAGGCCCTTGTTTTGTAGGATATAAACTCACCAGTTCCTCAAAGCCCAATTTCTCTTTTGTAGACCCTATGGTCGAATGTGCTATAGTAGGATACAACAATAGAAACAAACCCATTCTAGTTAATAACAGGTTCTAAGACTTAAGTGGACGAACCTTAGCATCTACTTGATCCCAAATACGCATTTCCAACCAGCAACATGAAAAGTAAAGAACAAAAAAGCATAGTTTTCTTGGTTTTTCTCTTCTTCTGACCCTAACTCACCCTCTCAGACCTTCCTGCAGGCAAGGGTAGAGTGATGAGAAAGCATTGGCTTTGAAACCATTGAGTGATATTAGCAACTCATTTGAGTTCTATGGTTCCTTGTCTGTAAAATGGGGTTAATAACAGTTATCTCACTATATTGTAGGATCAAGATTTTTTTAAAAAGTCATGTAAGCAGAAAGCGTTTACCCAAAAAGTATGCTGTGCTGTTAGGGATTATAAATCCCTGGCCCAAAACCTGTTCTCTTTCTCCCTAATCCCACATTTAATGCTCCCTCAAAAAAAAAAAAAAAAGAAGAAGAAGAAGAAGAAAAATCCATACACATAAGAAAACAAATTGCAAGCAGCTGTAAAAGCAAAAGACCATTAATGTCTCTTTCCTCTAAACCTCTGATGGGAGAAAACATATGAACTGTAGGCTCTCTGAAACCCAGGTTTTTTTAGTTTGGATTCCCCCAATATTCTCCCACATAATATATAATTGAATCATAAACTTCCAGTGATAAAATCAGTTCCTAGGAGGAAAATTTAAGGTCATTTCCTTCAGTTCTGTTCACTTTTGCTCCCTAGAACGCCTGCCCTGTGTGCTGGAATGCCATGGGCCAGGGTATGAGGGGAGGAGTAGATGCAGAGGGTGCTACATCCAGATTTAGCTACATCTACTTTCACTCTGCCAGGTAATTCCAGACCATCTTCCTCTCCAGTGTATCTAAACTTTTGCTTAAAATATTTAGGTCAGGCCAGATAAATGGATTCTTTTAGGAAAGGCCCTGACTAATCTCTCTAATTCTTTGCCTTCTCTGGGCAGTATAAACACTAAGCTACACATTCCTTTGTGTTTGAGTATCCTGAGGCCATTTGCTCTTGGCTATGATTTCCAAGAGAGTGAGGGTGGGGTGTGAGGGCAAGGTGTCCTGAAGCCCCAACTCAGTGCCTTTGATCAGGGAGGACAAAGCTGGCATGAGCAGTTTTTCAAGACATCAGATCAGGTCTTGGGTAGGAAGGAGGAAAGATTATGGAAACAACGGAACTGAGAAAGACTGCACTCCAGTGCCCCTGAAATCAAGCGGGACAAAAAGATGCCTGGAGAGGAATCATGTCCTTTTTTGAACCCCTACCCCACCCCAGTACCTGCAGCGCTACCTCAACTTATGGCCATTATACCAATTCTCAGCTCCCAACCGAGCTGGATAAACCTACGCGGCTTCATGGGGCAATGGAAGCAGATAGCAATCTCAGGCGACTTCCTCAGACCCTCCCAAGCCCGGCAGTAGCTTCCCAGAGCCTGGGCAAACTGTAGCCAGAGCCCACGACACTGCCCGGAATAACCCTGCAACTAGATTGACAGATGCCCCTTGGAACAGCATCTCCGGCGGTGACCCAAATGACAGACAACGCTGGAAAAGAGCCCAAGTGGTAGCCACAAAGCTCCTTTCTCGCTCCAAACTCATAGGGGGGAGATAGTGACCTGGCTAAAGTCAAACCGGACGGCGACTCCTACCTGCGCGGACCGGGATTGGGGGGTGGGAAGTCGCCCCAACCGGTGCGGTCATGAAGTCCGCTTGCCGCTGGGTCCTCTTCTCGCCTCCCACGGCCCGGGTGAGTCCTCGCGGCTCTAGTGCCTCACTCAGGCCTCCCCCGCCCGCCCGTGCGGTCAGCTTTCCCGGGGCCCCTCTGCGCAGTGTATGGGGTTATTTTTACTTTCGGTTATCTAGCTTTATGAAGACTCCACACCACTCATACAGCTAGATAACCAAAGATAACAACCAACCCCGCCTCCTGGCTGCCGCCGCCTCTTCCACGCAGCCTCTCGGCTGCCGCCGCTGCCGCCGCCGCCGCCGCCAGGACAGTCGCAGCCTCCCGCTCGCCCGCGGGTGGGGCTAGGGGATGGATACACCGGTGGAGATGGGGAAACGGAGAGAGAAACAGTACAAGACGTAAAGACTCAATGACACAAGGATACAGACATGACAGCGACCGAAAAAGGCGTGGAAAAGACGCGACAGCCGGGGATCGTTCCCAGACTCGAACCTCGAAGCTTCCGACGCTGGGTTTCCAGCGCCCCACTCCTGCCAGAAGCGGGAACGCGGTTGGCCCCGCGGAGGAGGCACTCGCGGACTTTTCGTGCCACCCGGGTAAACCGCTGGTACCCAGGGGAGGCTGCCCTGCACCTCACGGGGTCTCGGCTGCCCTTCTTGGGAAGATCCAGGGCGCATTCTACAGCCTGATTCTTAGCTCTCAGCGGTGCCGGAGTCTCCGCGTGGGGGATCTTAGGGCAGAGGCGCGAAACCCGGCCCCACCACACCTCCCAACTCTTGAAGGCGGTGCCTGCGAAGCCGAGCTCGAGCCGGGGGAAAAGGGCTGGGTCCCATTTGCCGACTAAAAAGGGTTGGGGGGCAGGCTGCGAAACCTGGGGGTAAAAATCCCGGAGGTGTCCCAGAAGGAAACAGGGAAATCCCGGCAACCCAAAGAGAGAGGGAAGCCTGTGGGGGTGGGGTGGGAGGCGACTCAGAGACTCCCGAGCGAATCTCTCAAGGAGAGAAGGGTAAAGACCCCACCCGAGAAAGGATTCAGGAGAGCACCCACAAGATGTGATGGGAGAAGATAAGCAGAGGGCCGGCTGGGCAGGTGAGCCGAGGCTCAGGCCCCGCAGGACACCCTCCTCCCGACCCAATCCCCAGAGAAATGGCTTAGTACAAAGAGGTCCAGGAATCACCCCGGTCTGTGAAAATGGCCGGGGGTCCAGGGTGAGAGGTGTCCCAGGGGTTGGGGTTTCCTATCGGGAAGGAAAATCCTCAGGGAGGTCCCGCGAGCCGCAAGGGGGGTTTGGGGTTCCGCCAGCCCCTAGTGGCGGACGCGCAGGCATGCTGGATTTTGAGGCACTCGCCCACCGCGTGCCCCTAGCCCGCCAGGCCACTTACATTGAGCCCAGGGTGCCCATCCGCGCTCTCCCGCGAGGTCCTCCCGGCCCATTCCCTCCCACCGACAGCCACGGCCAAAAGGCAGGAGTGCCAGCGCTCAGCAGGCGCGGGGCGGAGGCGCCCGCCCCGATCTCAACCTCGGCAGCGGAGCCTGGGCGACCATGGCAGAGCGGGCCTCACCACCCTGGCTCGCTCCTCCGCCTCAGCTGCTGCTCTGGCCCGGGCGCGCTCCGGCTCCGGACTTTTCATTCATCCTTTCACGCTCCCTCCCGAGACCAGCCACTGATTGGCTCCGCCGGGTCTGACGTCACCGCCTCGTTTCACCCACCCCCCACCCGCTACCCCACCCCTCCCCCTCCCCGGTGGAGCCGGAGCGCGCAATTGGGGCGCCCCTCCCCCCGGAGAACGGGGCGGAGGCGGGGCGGAGGGGGGTGGAGAGGAGGAACTACTATGTCTGTGTGCAGATTCCCAGCCTCTGGCTGCCTCACCCTCCCCGGAGACTCTCCTGCCATCTCCAATTCATTGCCATTTGTGATTTTGATTTCCAGCCTCACTTTTTGTAGGTCCTACATTTTCCATTTTGGCTCTAGGTATGTCGCAACAGGACAAAAGCTCAAAGATGGAAAAAAGATCGGGCGAAATCTCAAAAAGAACTATATGACGGGCGACTCTAGTTCCTCCTCCTCCTCTCATCAGGAGATTCTTTGTGCTTCCCGGGTTCTGATCCCTCCCAGACTGTGATCCCAATCTTTTAGGAACCTCTTGTTGGTTTTCAGCCCAAAACAGTGAGGGAAAGATTCTGGAAGTTTGCGAGTCTTACCGGGAGACATGGGGATCTGAGCGAGGTCGGGCCTCCCTTTTCACCAAGCAGATACCGGACATCCCTTGAACCTGTTCGCCGTACCCAAAATCCTGGTGGGAGAGTGTGGCGCATCCTAGATGGCATTGGCCTGGGCAACACCCTCAGGTTTTGACTCAGCCACGCAGGCCCTCGCTCACGCATTCTCTTTTTTGCCACCGCCTGCGTCTCCAACCCCGAGAGCCCTGAGTGCCTACCCGCGTTCCATCTCCAGGTATCTGCAAAGTTGGGGGTCCCCAAAAGAACTTTACTCTCCAGCAAGCTTTCAGATTCCGAGCTTTTCCGACTGGGCTGCCCATATGACCCATAGAATTGGAGCCAAATAATGCTGCATCTCAGATTCGGGCGGCGGCGCATAAACGCCCAGGGGCGGCATCAGAATTCTTGCTGCCCGGGTAGGGAGCGAGCAGCGGTGCCCTAACTGAGCCGCTGAGCCTGCTTGGAAGCTGTTCGAATTCCGGGCCCTCCATCCTCCGTCCCTTTTCTAAAATTCCTGTGTTTTAGATATCTGGAGCCTCTCTGTCCCCTTAATGTGGGCAGGCTCCCATCACCAGGTGTTCTGAACATTAGATAACATGGGTACACTTGAGGGGACCCCAGGTTTGGCCTCACTTGGAGAGACTATTACCTGCCAGAGTGTCCCACCTCTGCACAGACTAGGACAAAGGCTAGCCTGAATGCCATTTGCCTTGGCTAAATGCAAGTAAACAACCAGTGGGTTTCATTTGACGCTCCCCTCAATGATTGGAGCATGTTTGAATAATGCATAATTGTAGGGTGGGGGACAGTTCCAACTAGGATAAGGCCTATTTCCCTACCAGAATAGTACAGATTGGAAGCGGAGACCTTGCTTTCTCCAGGTCTGGTGCTTTCTCAGGGCTGTGGTTTGGAACACCTTTTTCCATCTGTCAGCCTCCATGGGTTCACAGGGCCCTTACGAAAGTCTTTCTAGAAGCTTCCACAGTGTCAGTTCTTCACCCACCCAGAACTCAGAGCACACCAGTCAGTAGTGGGTTGGGCGAAAGAAAGAGACAAAATACCCACTCCTTATTTATTTCCTCCTGCCTTCTTCCAGAGCTCAGCTCAGAGTCCTGGGGTCCCTACTGCTCCAGCACAATAGTAGAAAAGCAGATACTCCCCAAACACTCTTACAAATAGGCTCACCCAACAGACATGCTGTTAAATTGTCTCCCTAAGCTCATCCTCAGGAAGTACAGTCCCCCTCCAGCCTTCTTCTTTGTGCCTACAAACCTCTTCAAATATTTCTCAGTACAGCATCTTATACCCTTTTATAGGATACCCAATATCCTCTTAACATTCCAGCAACCCTAAATAAGGTGTACACTTCTCCACACACCAACCTGTCCTGCAGATATTTCCCTGTTTGCCCTTCAACAAGACCCCTTAAAAGCCACTTAAGCAAACCTTTCTCCTCCTTCCTCCATTGACCCAGGGCCTCTTGGGACCAATTCCCTGGGTAAAGAATGAGTAAACTCCTAGTTAACATTCTCCCCTTCTCTGTCACCTGATTTTCAACCAAGTTCTCTGCCTTCTATGGAAAACAAACATCTCCACAACCCCTTACCTTGGGCCATCCAAATAGCTGGGATGGGTATAAACTCAATTCTCTTCCAGTCACTTCAATTATTTATTTGGGAGGAGGGAGGACAGAAAGATGTCTTTGCCCAGTGGAGACCTCCCATCCCCTTCCTTTCTACCAGATTCAGACCCAGCTGGATTTCCCCCAAAACCAACATGGGAAATAAATATCTAAATTTCTTCAAATAGCTAGATAAAGAGCTACTTCAGCCTAAACAGAGTACAAGTTTAAGGAGACCCTCACAAAAGAAAATGGAAATTAGTCAACGTTTTCCTCAATTATCTACATGGTATCCCCTCTCCATCCAGAGTCCCCATGAAGTAACTTTTTATTTGTTCTCATCTGGATAGTCTTGAAAACCCAATTTGCTCTCACTGCTCTGCTCAGGGACAAAGGTGAGATGGCATCTGTCTTCATCCCACTGAAAATGGAACTAATGGCATGAAAGAAGCTGAAAACTCCCCACCATCATGTTAACTGGAATCGTGTTTGCATACCAAACCAAGTTGTTTGAGTTTCAAAAAAAGAAGCTACTTCAAGGGTGGCAAATGAGACAGCCCCTCTAGGGCAGAGGCAAATACTCATACATAATTGAGTATTTGAGTCTGTGGTAGCTGACACTGCCTTAAACGTGGAGGATGCTGGAGCCATAGATGAATTAATGAAGGTCTGTATGTATGTGGGTGTGTCTACTACAAGTCTAAGCTTCCTGTTGAGTGGCTGGAGCATATTATGGAAGGAGAGGGAGCACAGATAGGTGGGGTCTGTGTGTGTGAGAGAGAGAGGAAGGGGGAGTTGTATCTCTCTGGGTGCCTGCTAGTGACTCTGGTATTTCCTTTGACCAGGAGGCTGTTCTACAATTTAGAACTGGATGCAGCATCACGGGTGCAATAGTCCCCCTTGTGCTTGGCCCACCAGTCTCCATCTCCGGAGACGCTATGCCTTAAACATGGTGGATGCTGGAGTAGTAGATGCCTGGAGCAGAGCCTCCAGCTTCCAGCACACCTCGCAGTCTACTGCAGTGTTCTGTAGAGTGGTGGTCTGCAGACTCTATCTCAAGTCCTTCCAGGGAAATCCTGGGGACTGTGGGCACAGAACACCAAATCCCTGGTGTAAGTCTGTGTCTCAGTTAGCCTAGGAGCCTGCATTCATTGCTAGTGCCAGTCCCCACCCCCAGCCCCACCATCCTGATGCCCACCCATTGTCTGTGCTGAGGAGGACCTTGAATAGAAAAAACATGGCTAAATGCTCTCTAGATGCAGTTTTGGACAGATCTCCATAAATTGAATCTCAAAATACAAAATACTTTGGCATGAAAACACCTTCTTGAATTATTCAGGTAATTAAATAAAAAGTATATTTTTCTTTGTTTCAATTACCAGGACAATTTGCCTTGGAGATGCAGATGAAAGCTGCATTTGGAGGAGGGTGGGAGCAGATATTTATTTTTGTCTTATAGGTGTATCATTAATATGCACATTAACATGCATTATTCTTTTGCCATAGAACACTTGTGTCATCTATTGGATAGTGACAAAAACAAGATTTGGCAGTAAATACTGAATGTGTGTGTGTGTCCATATAAACGGAAGGGGTGAGAGGGCACATAGATATGATCTGGAAGATTCATCCTTGGGAATACCACCCTGCCCTCCTTGCCCTCCTCACTGAGGTGCTTTTTCTCCCTTTGAAGGACCAACCTGAGAATCTCTCAGCTCTGCATAGCCACTGCCTTGCCTGCTTGTTCCCAACTGTTTTTGACCCCTGTACCACTCACTGTGCCGAGTGCCCTGTGGTATCAGGAGATGAGCACAGGTTAGGGAGCAGGTGGAGGGCTGGCCGGTGGCAACCGGCTGCCGTGAGTGGCACACACACGCACACGCACACACAAGCTCACCAACAAAGACACATGTAGCGACACATCTACAGTCTGCCCAGCGGTACTGCCTCCCAAGGCAGGCGTATAGGCACCTGCCTGGGCACATACCTCTGTGCAGTTTTTTCAGCTCCCCAGAATCCCACTCACCACAACCCACATTCCTTGTCTTCCCCACTTCTGTCACCCCTGTACAAATGTCTGTTCCTTTCTGCAATCAAATGCCTCCTCCAGGATTAATTGGCCTCCACTACTGAGAAGGAAGGGAGATCCTCTCGGCTTCCTAGTGCTTCTCCTTCCCTTCACAGAGCTGGACACAGGGTTGCCACTTAGTTCCATTCCTGTCATCATAGACACCACAGGACAATTGGAGCAGACCCAAATTGGGCTGCCCCTCCCCCCCATGAGACAAACAGGAGAGGGAGAAGAGGTGTCAACAGAAGGGAAAGGCACAGGAGATACAGGCTTGCTTCTCCCCCACACCCACCCCACCATCAAAGGAAACAAATAAGAAAATAGATACCCCAAAGCCAAAGGAGGCCACCTACTATGATACCAGCAACAAGTAAGGCTGCTTCTTCTCAGCTGCCCAGCTCCTGTCAAGGAGAATGAAAAGGTTAAAGTCCCTTGAATGACTCCAATCTTCTTTCCCTAACAAGCCCCACCTCCCTGTCAGTCTCCCACCAACTCCTTGTCTACTATTTCCAAGATCTAGCCAGCTTAGTTTCCCCTCTTCAATTTGGAGAGCTCCAGAGAGAAAGCCCCGCGCCGCCGCAGCCGCAGCCGAGGGAGAGAACTGAAAGAGAAAACCCTAGAAGCCTAACCAGGCAGGGAAGACAGGCCTCTGGCCAGAGCTTCTCCAGACCTGTCTT